GCTATGATGAATTTGGAGCCTTTTGTTTTGGCTGCTGCGAGCACCAGGTTCCTGAGGTGCAGGTGCAGGAGCAAGGAGTGCTTGTGCCCGGGAGTGCACATGTGCAAGATGCCTGGATTTGGACTGAAAAATATAAGTGTTTCAACCTGGGAGGTTTCTCAGCTTTCCTATTTGAAATGACTAGAAAGCTCTGGACTTCCAAAGTCTTCCTGGTAAAAACATAATTAAAATTACAAAACTTTTAAAAAGTTTTACTTAAGAAACATTTCTATTAAATGACGTCAGCTAAAAATACTCCATCCAAGTTTACTGAATAACAACACATGCATATTCATATTGATTTTAATACATAGGTGCACAATAGTACACAAAACCATAAAAGATCTGATTCAAGCAGCTTATTATCCATGAAATATATATGCCTCTTTACCTAGAGAGATCATAGGTACAAGAACTGCAGCGCTACCAAAATAATGCTCTAAATTAATCCTGAAAGTGAGCGCCTCATTTCTTGCATTAAAAGATGGCTGAGTGGGTAAAGCCCTCAAGCTTTACCTAGGTGGATTATAGTTCATAATTGGGCAAAACGTGTAAATTGCATCATTTTTTTTCTCATCTAATTTTCCAGTTCTGAAGTTTAGATTTCCTTCTTGGTTTAATGATTGCATAATTGCAATCCTGAGCTCCTTCAAGCACAGGCCATGTATTTTTTTCCCCTGCTATATACTGCTGAACACAATAGAATGCTTGTCTGTGACCATAACCCCTATAAGATGAAATAATAGTAGTAATTAAGATAGTATAATCTCTCTATTGTTGAGAACCTTATTTTGATGGCACAGCATTCAGAAGACTTATCCCCTGAAAGAATTAATCAATGGCACTATAGCCATAGTTTCTGAAGAGAGAAAAATATATATATTTCTGTATGCAAATATTTTAGCTCCTGTCCTTGTGCTGTGAAAAGGAACAGCCTGAAGGTCAGAGATTGCACAATCTCTGCCAGAACTCTTAAGGATAGACTAAATCTATGAGATTAAATCAATGAGACTAAAAACAGCCAAGTCAAAACGTGAGTTGAGAACACTCTAGAGTCTTTTTCACTCCCAAAATCAGACTACCCAAAGTTTCTTAAACATGGAATGTTCCTTCCAAGAAGCAACAGGTTCTGTAGTTACTCCTCAAAATGTCAGAAAGCTTTCTTGTTTCTCCAAGTTCAATAACCACAAGCTGTAAAAGCTTTTTCACTCAGCAATCAAAGCAATAAAATGACTAGCGCAAGGGCTGTAAATTTAAGTACAAAGAGAAGCAGATGAACTTTGGTAACAGCCATTAGCAACATCTGAATAAGCAAGGAAAAACAGTGAGCTAGGAAAGTGGTTACAACATGAAATGGATTTATTTCAATGAGAAGAAAAAAAAGGCCTTCTCTGGCGTATGGAGCATCGAGGTCTTTTAACCTTACTCTCTGTTGCCCGTTTTAGTCTTACCCTAAACTGTGTTTGTGGGATTAGATTGTTTGCTCATCTCATCTCGTTGCTCTATTTACTAACCTTTGTTTGGGGTATGACTACATACAGGAGCTGCAGTGACACAAGACTGGGTAGGGAATTTATAGCAGGTTGGCTGCTCCACAGCAACTGCGTGTGCACATGCCAAGTCCCTGTTTTCAATGAAAACTACATATTTTGCTTACATCTGGGTAGCTCTGTCCATAAAATTATTTTTGTGGATTAACTGACATACTCTAAATCCACACCAAAGCTTGCCTTATACCTAGCTCTGCCTGTACACAAAGCAAATGTAATAGCAGATACCTGCCAGCAGTGAGAAAGGTTGCCTTTTGTGCCTTTTGCTAACATCTCACTGAGACACAGGACAAGCTGTATGTCTGTATATCCATCTGCCTACTGCACAGAGAGTTGCAATGCTATAAAACCTGCTAAAAACCATCTATGGCCCCCTTGAGCAGTTTTTAACGAGTGTTTTCACAAAGGTCCATCTGTACATTATTTCACAGAGTATGGGTTAAAGGGCAGAAAAGTGCTTTAAACTAAATATCAGATCTGAAATATTTTACTGTAAATGGAGCTTCTCTTAATGCAATCAGTGTTCCTGTATTTTCCTCCCATATTTATTACTAAATAATAAATTATAACTAAATTATATACTATGTGAAATTAATGTGCTTGCCTCTCTGTTATGAAGAGGTTTGAATGATTCATTCTTTCTCTTTCTTTCTCTCTTTCTCTCTCTCTCTCTCTCTCTTTTTTTTTCTGTCTGTCTTTCCTTCAGTTAATGCTGCACATTTTAAGCAGTTTTAAATGCTGACAATAGCTGTGCTAAAAAAAGCTGTAGGTAAAAGAGCGGTGAAGACGCTTCCATGTGAGTAAAGGCAAAGGTGAGAGCCTGCTGGTCACCCCACCCACGGGAGTGAAGAGTAAGCCTGGCGGAGCGGGTAGAATGCCGCAAAGCATCAGACAGGTTGGTTTCTATAATCCTCTAAGAGGCAAATACAACACACGCTAATTGGATGAGCATTTCTCTCCTGTGGCTACACCCTGTCTAGTTTTATGAACCTTTGAACGAGCAGTCTACCTTTTATTAGTAGATACTCTTACTTTTAGTCCAGGGACTCCAACGCAGAGGAGAAGGAATCAGCTGTGGGTTGCTGAAGGTGAGGACAGTTCACAGGCACCACCGTTGCCTCTGATCTAATTTCCATCTCAAGTGTGTTGCCAGTTTCAGCAAAACAAATCTGCTGAATCTTCAAAAAAACCTTGTTATTCAAGGGAAAAAAAAATCTGATCTTGAAACAGACTCATAATAAATAAAACATGTAATATAACTTTTTAGTGTTCACACATAGTTAGCATAGCAAGAAGACACATGATTTATTGTTTATTTTTTATTAGCTCTATATTTGACAAGCTCTATGAGGCCAAAACATTTAAGCTCTATGCTCCTCATTATTCAAATAAGGACAATAACACATACCTATTTATGTAGCATTTTTCAAATTGCAGAAAAATATACGCTGAAGCATCAGCTTTATTACAGTTCTTCGAGTAGTAACATGACTTGGTTTTTGAAGTATGAAAATTTCAGAAACATGTCAAGGATAAAAATCTTTACATAATTTCTCAGCCACCTTGGTATGGTCCTTTCAAGGTTTTCCTTGTAGAAAGTATATAGGCAACAATAAAAGTTGAAGACCTAATAAAGTTCCTGAGTTCATCATAATACAGACAATATATAGATATACATATCATAACCTTTTGATGCTTTTGAGTATAAAGCTATTTCTGCTTGTTTATGACTTCACATTAACCTCTTATAATTCACCATGAATTTTTGAAAATAAAGTTTTTTTAGGAAAACAATTGTACTACTGTTTTGAAATTGGGCTTAATACCTAGCCTTATTTTAGGGATAAGTCTTTGGTTATCTTTAAAAGAGTACACCCAAAACCGATCAGGTTCGGAGCCTGTGAAAAACCTCAAATGAAGCTGAATTGCCAACACTCCAGTTGAACTAATCATACTCCCTCTGCTCATCTATTCAATCTCAGACTGCGACAGCCCCACCTAGCATCATTTCCTGATACTTAAGAGATGACTCATACTCCCCTGCACTTTACCTGAAAGTCGATTTTGTCCTTTTTTTTTTTTTCTGCCCCTGTGTAGTATCACAAGCCCATTTACCAAGTTCTACAGAACAACTGAACACTTGGAAATTACCTCCTGGTAAAGAGCAGAGCCGCAGGCCAGGTGCCATTAGCACTCCAGCACTTTCAATGGCCTCTGAAAGAGCGAGATGCATCTCCTTAGATCTGAGACATCAAGGGAAAATCTCCCACTGACCTCAGTGGCTCTTGAATTAATACTTTAGTGAACTGAACTTTATTCTCAGAACAGCTCTGAGGCACATGGAAATTAGAGTGCAAAAATTTAAAAATGCAGATGACATGAGCCTTCTGAATTCTCCATATGCCATACTGGCTGGAGATCTAAACTTTTATTATTATTATTATTATTATAAATATTGCTGTATGATAGAGCAGATAAATAATAATTTAAACATTACGAACACATTATCTAAACTGTAAACCACAACTGGCCTACACTGTACTGTCTAATCAGCATTAATTTATTTGATAAGAGGATGTATCTCCAAAAGTCGATAAACTTGTCCCATTATAACTAGTAAGCAAAGCCTTGCCTTTGGAGCTGTACACTGGAGAAAGTTAATTTGTACTTAAGTCATGTATTTCCAGAAGAAAGGCATTTGTATCACTGCAGAAGGAAGAAAACAAAAACCATTACTCCTCAGCCCCCTAGGCCTAGACCTCTAGGGTATCTGTGTGATGAATTATTTCAATGCTTTGGCCCTTTTATCAGTTAACCAGATGTCTGCTCCAGTGGCTTTGATTCTACAGAAAAACTTCCCTCAACATAATCTGGAGAAATTAATGTGAGTGGGAACAGTCCCTAATTTCTATTACTCTTCTGGGGCATGACATCATGCGGGGTGACTCTTCCCATTCCTACAGTATTGAGCAATGCAGTGCTCATATACGTAAACAGATCTTCTGATTGGGAAAGCTAGGGAAATTGTATGTAAGGAGCTCTGTTTTAGCTCCTGTAAATAGAGACAAACTAAAAGCGATATTTCAAAAAGCAACGTTGCCCACTGTGGTTATGGTGGGGCTTTCTACAGCTGGTAACTAGCAGTTCAAGGAACGTGTTAGGTGTCATACTGAAAGACCAAGCTTAAAATTTTTCTTCAGTCCACACAAATATCCTGTCCATTCAATTCTTAAACCCTAAAGAGTTTTGTTGTGGTTTTACACTGATAACAAAGACTTGTCTGATATTTGTAGGAAGTGAAAGAAGCACCACTATTACCTTTACTAGCCACTATAGTTGGTAAACACTACACAAGTGCAATATAAAGCTTGGATTTTTATTATTGGGCACATAAGTTTACCTATATAGAACATGGGCCAGGAGTTGGCCAGGATAACTGGTATGTAGTCATCCTCTCCTGTGCTTGTAAATATACAATATTTAAAGAAACACAAAGCCAAAAGGCTATCATAAGTAATTTATTCATTTTCAAGGCTTACATAGCATAACAATTTGATAATGATAAAATGCATAAGCAATACAGATACACCTAGAAAATAAGCTTTACAACAGGTAGACATATCTGAGCCTGTTGATTCTGTTCATCTTTACTAAGAATGACATCACAGCAGTGATGTGAAAAGTCCGTGTGAGGGTCTTTCAGGTCCTTGTGACTTTACATCATGCTAAACTTAGGCTGTTTATTTGAGAGTCTTTACAAACTAGACCAGAGGGGAATTAATAAGCCACCCAAAACTGCCTGAGGAATCAAGCAGGTAAGTGTTGCACAGGCCTAACCAGGAGGGACCCCAAGATCAGTCTGCTAATCCTGGCCGATGAGAGACAGCTCTCCCTTGGCTTTGGAGGGCATTGCAGACAGCAGTCAATGCAAAAAAGGAGATGCAACAGCAGCCACACAGACAGACAAACCCGCAAAGATCGCTAACCTGCGCATGTGAGAGCTTTGTGCGAAGTTTCATCGACGCACAAGATACAAGGAGAGGCAATGTATTTTTGTCATAGAGGTAATGGTACAGGTACTGGTAAGAGGAAGTTTGAGCGTTCTTTGGAAACACCACTTATTTCACATATTTCATAAGGAACAGCCTTAAAAGGATGTTGTCCTGGTTTTGCCGTTTACTGAAAGAACTTGCTTTTCAATGACACTAACGTATCATTACTAATCCGGAAAGAGCTGTGTGCTTTCCTCATTTTTTTTTTCTGCAACTGAACAAATAAAACAAGTTTGGGGAAGTAAACTCGGAACTCTTCAGGCTGATCTTTGTGAGCTGGCACTCAGGAAGCCATTTTAACAACTGGGAGAAGCTTTTCCTGAGTGTCCTCCTCCACAGCCTGGGCCAGGTGCCGCTGCCCTCTGCCCTGTGGGTTTCCAGCAGGCCAGGCCACGCTGGCTGCATTTCCTGGGAGAGCCAGGTGGTGTGCGGAGCCTTCGGCCGCAGAGGCAGCTCTTTTGAGGAGCCCTAATGTGGAGTTACCTGGATCACCTTTAAGGGCGGAAATAAGAAGTAAATACATGAATAAAGAGGTGGCAGGAATACCTGTAAGGTATTGGGGTACAGTATAGCTAGGGGTTCTGTCGTGCAGTTTACTGTGAGATGACAAGGGCTAAAGAGGCCGTTGGATCCGCACAGCCCTTGGCAAAGCGCTCGGTCCTTATTACATTTTTGGTTGAATTGTGTCCGGTTTGCTTTTCCCTTCTTCCAGGCCCTGTTCCACAGAGGAGCAGCGTTACAGACTACGCCCTAAACGCAGGGACCACCGCGGTGAACGCCCAGCGGCTGCTAAGAGCCCTGCAGCTTTCCAGGCCTGTTCTGTTGGAGGGGTCGCCAGGCGTGGGCAAGACCAGTCTAGTTGCTGCCCTGGCAAAGGCCTCGGGAAACTGTCTCGTTCGAATCAACCTGTCTGAGCAAACGGTAGAACAAAATATTATCCTTGTCATTTCATGTTTGAGGGAGAGAAGAGAGGGCTTTTTTTTTTTAAGGTTTTTTTTTTTTTTTTTCCCTAACATAAAAGCACAATTTTTGTTTGTTTGATAAAGAAAAAAAAAAATCTTTGGCACTGTGTCTGAGATGCCAGTTGCTTCCTCCTTGGTCTCAAAATAAAGCTAAGTGGGAAGGAGAAACAGAGCAGCAAGTTTTTGTGAGAGAGGAGTGCCAATTTCCAGATTTTTAGGGTATTTTCAAGTGGAGACATGCATGATTTTCTACTCTGTTTCCTTGGCTTTTGCAAAGTTACTTGAAAGCAACTTTAAGGCTTCCTAGGTTTTGGGGGATATGTTGTTTTATTTGGTTCTTTGTTGCTGTACACAGTAGCTCATTACTGGAGTTGCTATTGTGAAAAAGCTTTTAGCATCATGAAACTACTGCTTTGTTTTGGTTTGCTTCTTTTTAATATTTACATTTTAACTGTATTTAAAAGAGAGGAGGAAAATATGAGGTTATGAAAATGTGAAGTTAACAAAGGTTGTTCATTAATTTTCACATGTCCTGGGGGGGGGGGATTATTTATTTATTTATTTATTCCCCTTGGGACCCCGGGGCTCCCGGTTTTGCTCCTTTTCCAGACTGTATCTGCACAAAAAACAAGCGCGTCACCAACTGCGTGCAGACAGGAGGCACTTGCCAGTGCCAGTCCATTGGATCCGGTGTAACTGTGGAGTGCAACACCTGTAAGTCTGTTTTTTGAAACGCTTTTGCTGTTGTGTCCTAAGCAGCGTCTTCCTGGGGGCTCAGAGGCGCTAAAGAGGTGCTAAAGAGCTCTCCGTGAAAGTGGGGTGTGTAAAGAAAGCCCGGGGAGCTCCTGACCGAAAGCTATGGGAAGGGAAAGAAAAACTGCTTCTTGGTAGTCCAGATCGACTGATAATGATAGATCAGTGTTTATAGTCTCTACACAGAAACTTCTGTAAACAGGTGTGTGTGAGACAACCACCCCCCATCCTCTTCAATATTTTGTCTCTATCCACTGGAAAGGATACCACCCCCCCCCCCCACCTGCTTGTCAAGACCAGCAATGACCATTATTTTTTTTCTCCTACAAATCTAGAGGAGAAATCTTGTGTCCAGGCTTTACTCTTGATCTAACAGCATCTAAGCTGTACATGATCTGCTGGGTGGGAAAAAAGCAAAGGTGGCTGGATGTGGTACTCAACGTGCGACTTCCTATATAAATATATATAAGAATAAGAAGTTGGCTTCTCCCAACCATGTCGACTTACTGCACCACCTACCTTTTGGGCAGGCGCCTGTTCTTCCCTGTAATGGATTAAAGTTTCTTCTAACACAACTCTATGTTTTCACATGTGATTATTTTTTGTAGTGACTTCAAAATGCCTGTTGATGAAAGCAGAAATGTCAAGTTCAAAATCAGGTCGTTTCAATAAACCAAAAGACGCATTTGAAGATACCGATGGCCTTTATGATCCCGAGTGTGAAAATAATGGCATATTCAAGGCAAAGCAGTGCAATGGGACCTCCTGCTGGTGTGTGAATACAGCTGGTGTTAGAAGAACTGACAAACATGACACAAACTTGAAGTGCAACCAACTAGTCAGAACAACGTAAGTCTTTCGACCGGTTAAGGTGTGCTGTGACGTAAAAGCATTCCTGTATTAAGCTCTGTGTTAGAGAGAGTGTGCCTGTGTGAGTGATGCACTAGGACTAAATGAATGTGGAGCAATAAATTTTTATTTACTGGATTTTTTTTCCCTTTCTGGTAGCAATAAGGCTTCACTTGTTTGTTTTTCCTCACTGCTTTGGTTTTGCCTACTTTGTACCAGCCTTAGATATTTTGCATGCGATATATTTTATACATGCCCTTCAAGAATATTTACTGTGCTTGCCTCTTCAGGTGGATCATCATTGAAATGAAACATGCTGAGAGAAAAGCTCCTCTGAGCACAGAGTCTTTAAGGAAGTAAGTGATGATAATCAGTAAGATGTCATGAAAAAGTCTGCGTTTATTACTACATACCTGGTTTACTCCTAAATGACTAAGGATAACAATGCATGGTTAAACCTGTTAACTCATTTGCTGAACACTTTGGAAATCGGCTATGGTCCTTTGTAGAAGTTGTTTTAATTTTGATTGGAAAGAAATTAACTAATGAGGCTAATCTCCATTAAAATAGTTTTATTGCCCTTTTTGGGAGTGAATTCCAGATATTGAAGGAAACGGGAAGGTAACAGGATGAAAATACCCAAAACATAGACTGACTGGGGAGCTACACAGAACAAAGAAGCAAGGGGGAGAGAAGCTTTTTTTTTTTTTTGTTTGGTTTGATTTGTTTTTGTTGTTGTGTTGTTGTTGTTCTTCTTCTCCTTCTATAAAAGAGAATCCTACTTCTTTGGCAGAAGTAGAAAATAGCAAGAAAGACAAGAAAATACAGCAAGAAAAATGCGCTTATAGCTGTGGGGGTTCCCCCTCACCCATCTAGAGCAAAAGCTGCTACTGTGTATCTCTTTCTTGTGAGCTCTTGAAACTGTTTAAACTTTTTTTTGCTACCCAAAACTAAGTAATTCTGTTCCATAAATACAACCTCACTGTTGAGAACTTAAGTAGCTCTTGGTACCACTTAATAGTGAAAGTCTACAGAAAAAATCAATTACACCAGTTGTTCATACACCTGAAAATGTGTGTGAAGTAGGATTCTACTTTTGACAGTTGTGACTTTAATCTTCTTGTAGAGCCTTTGTGGAAACCATTACCAGTCGTTACTTGTTGGATGGACGCTATATAGGTGATGTTGAGGTAAGAAGCACGTAATTCTTCTAAAAATGGGAGAATTTCCTTCTCCGTTGTGGAAAAACTGCAAATTCTAGTCTGGTTTGTCTAATGCAATACCGCAAGACTAGAGCATGATTAGACGTGCTTTCAAAAATGTTACTTAACATTTATGTGCGTGGAATACATCCCTTAATGTTTTTTACAGGTTCTCCACTTCAGAATGTGAGGAACTCATATTCCTCTTGTCCTCTACTCTCTGGAAAGTGTATTCTCAAAAGAAAGTCCTTGAGCTGCCTGCTCACTTTTTTGATAATACTTCCAAGTAATACTTTGATCTGTTGAGCAGCTAGCAGATAGCTGCATTGAAATGCTGGGAGAGTATATGTCACTTCTAGTTTATAGATGAATTCTCTTGTTTTTCTCTGGAGCAAAAAATGGAGTTTGAATCATGCTGTAAACACTTTGCTTGAGAACAAGTACCAAAAACTGATCAAAAATAGAGTTCAAAAGTTGAATCATAGTATTCTGTTATGTCTTTGATAGTCATATCTAAACTAGCACCTTTCCCTTTTACAGTATGAAACCCCCTACATTACTGTTAATTTGAAGCAAAATTCCTCAAGGAAATTTCCTGGCGATGTGGATATAGCTGATGTGGCTTACTACTTTGAAAAGGATGTAAGTGTGTCACGAGTCAAGTTTAATCAAAGACTAAATAGCACGTGTAATTCAGTGAATCTTGCATGTATGTGGTGTTTGAGGGGTGGGTTTTTTGTGTGTGCTCACTAAAAACAGAATGAATTACTGTGGTGTCTGGTTGTCTGTTATAAGGTGACTAGTGAGTCTCCTTTGTCTCTGTTCTTAGGCAAAAGGTGACTCCATCTTTCACAATGACAGATTGAACATCAGTATTGATAACGAAGTGCTGAATTTTGAGAAGACAGTGGTTTACTATGTAGATGAAATAGCACCGGAGTTCTCCATGAAGTCGCTGACTCCTGGTGTCATTGCTGTCATTGTAGTTGTAGTACTAGCAATCGTTGCTGGAATTGCTGTACTGGTAAGTTCTAAAAAAGCAGCAAAACAGAGTGGGTAATAGTCTCCTATGGGGGAGGGGAAAAAATTCAAGAGTAGTTGGTCTTGAATATTAAGCTTGCCTCTATAAGACTAGGTGATAAAACTAGATTTTTTGGTTTTTTTGAGACTTCAGAAAGGGATGTGGGAAAGAGGTAATGGACATACTGCCGTGGAATGGAGAATGCCCTGCCTCCTTAGAAGGCTGGGGAAGGGGCAAGTTCTACTTTGGAGTTTTAAATGTAACTTGCGTGGTTGCAGTTTTAAGTAAAAGCTTGACCTTTGCAATGCTGTTTCCTTTACAGGTCTGTTCAAGACGAAGAAAAGGGAAGTACGTCAAAGCAGAGGTAAACTACAGTTGTGGTGTTAAAGGGGTTGGGATAACTTTTTGGCTAGAATCTGAACATTACCAACTAGGGTCAGTGTAGGTTAAAAGCTTGCTTTGGATGCAGCAGATGTGTTCAGGTAACGTCAAAATACTCAAATTCTGTAGCTAGCTTTCATTTCTATATAGCTAAATGTGTTTGCTCTGCAGTAGTTTCAAAGACCACTGACAGTATCGATTTCCCAGTTGTGGAAGGGCAAAAGCTAAGTACTATTCTGCATATCCCTAGCAAGGACTGTACTGGGTTTGATATGGGCAATGAAGTCCCCAGAAAATACTATCTGATAGTCTTATTTAATCATGAAGAGCTGTAATTGAGAGGATATTTCCATTGAGCTTGCAGTTTCTGTTGAAGAGCTGCTTACTAATGAACTGGTGACAAACGGCACTACCGTGCTGTACTTTGTCCCCAAGTGCAGAGCATTTGTAAAGGACTCCAAAGAGTGTCGTAACTAAACAGTGCCACCTACTCCCTGCGGAGTCCCCCGGGGTGCTGTGTAGAAAGCTGACGCGTTCATGTTGGTCTCGGCATATTTGCTGCTGTTTAGTGTTTTTCTTCAAATCCCTTTTGTTAGTGGAAAAACTGGAGTATTAAGCTAAAGTCTTTTGGGGGGTTTTATTTTGAGTAGTAGCAGTAACGTTGATTGTCTCGCTCCTCTGCAGGTAAAGGAAATGAATGAAATGCATAGAGGATTAAATGCCTAATTGGGTTAACTGAAGACAGTAAGATTCAAACAAGAAGACAAGAGAAATACTGGAGTCATGGATCTTAATTCTAAAGACCTTCTCTGAAGGAAGGGGGTTGTGTTGACTTAATGATTTTTTTGGAGTGGGGGAGGGGGAGCAGGGGGTAAACTCTAATGAAGCCTAGGCTGGCAACCATGCTACTATTGCTATTTGAACATTGAATTTCAAAAGCCCTGTTTTACTCAAGTGAAACTTAACTATTCATGATTTTTAAGGTGATGAAAGGAGTTGTCAATTGCTGTTACTAGGATTCTGGAGCTTATATGGAGCATACGTGCTTGAATTTGTAACCCCTTGGAAGGTTTTTGGAAACATTCACTTTTTTAGCTGTGTCATAAGACCGTGTGCCTGGCTCATGTATAATTGAACATGACTTTGTTTTTAGGGCTGTTTGTACATATTTGAACTTGCTGTAACTTTTTTATGACTTTAATAAAACTTTAAACCAGGCTTTTAATTCTTCTACTGTGTTAATTTGATGATGATCTGATTAAACTATGCTACTTAACTTCAGCAACCTCACCAATAGTGGAAGAATATGCTAGAAATATAGGTAATGAGCAGTTTTTACTGGTCATCTTATCTCTGTAGCGTGACTTCACCGAAGCAGTGAAGTGTGCTTTATCTCAGTTCCCACTTTTAATGTGCAATAGGTGTAAAATGGTAAAATGGAATGTTTATGCATAAAAATAAACATGCTGTGAATGCAGCAATTTCAGGAATGCTGCATCTGCATGGATAATTAAACAGTCCTCTACTCTTAAGCCACCTCTGCTGGGGGGGGAGGACTCGGCGTCTGGCTGTAGTGTTGGGGCAGAGCTCTTGCACCATTGCCCTCCTTTGCATTGCTGTCCATTGCAAAGCTTGAATCTCTTTCTGCTGTTAGTCCTGTTGCCTGCCCTGTAGGCTGCCCAAACTTGTGTTATCTGCCTCTCCCTGGAAACAAAACTTCTCTTCCAGAGCTTAGGATAAGCAGCTTGCTTTGGCTGTGAGCAATCTGTGCAGTGTATATCAGCTAGCACGCAAGTGTGTCCAGTCCGTCCAGCATATCTGATTTACAAAGGAAAGACTGGAGCTTCTGTTGCCAATGCGCTAATGAGATCAAGATAAAGAACTGAATGACAAATCTCATTACTAATACAGTGGTTTGGTTTTGTTTCACGCTCCCCGAAACAGGAAAAGTAGGATGTACCACTATGTGGGTATGCTATGTGCTGCATTCGTACCATTAAACACGGAGCATACCCTATTAGAGTGCTTGCGTAAGGATGGAGGTTGCTAAAGCTTCTGGCCTGTACTCATGCGCTCCTGATGTCCCAGGTCCTGGGAATCCAGCCTGCCTTTAACCAACGAGGAAGCTGGGTTATGTGTTGAAATGGGGGCTTGCTGGTATCAGGTAGCGTTATTTCTTTAGGTCTTCAGAATATGGTGCTGAAGGATTTGGCATCTGTGCAGAGCTGCTGCAGCCTCTGTAGTTTACCAAATTTCTGGGTAGCTATAGCATGTATTTGGAGCCTTCATATAAGTTTGCTCTGGGAAGCTACTGTTCCTGCAAATCACAGAAATCCCAAAACAAGGAATTCACAGGAACGCATCAGAGCCTTCCAGAAGGCTAGTGCAACTTGCTGCTCAGTGACACCTTATGTGGGTGCCCCTGTGCCACCCACTGCTGCTCCCCTTCTGCCTAGGGGGTTGTGCAGTCGGCTGAGGTTGGCTCAACGGCGCGCAGCTCTGGAAGCTGCTAAACCAAGTCAGTTTTCTGTGAGCTTGTCCTCTGCTGAGCCATCGGTGTTTTGTCTCTTCCCCCTATTTTCTATTCTTTCTGTATGCTATATTTTACTCTTCTGTTTTTTCAGTTTGGTGTCCTCACCCTTCCTTTTTTTCTTCTGTAGATGGTAACACTAGAGTTCCCCTCCCCAAACACAGCTCTCCATTTAATACCTAAATTTTTGGCCTACAGGGGTGGAAAGAGATGTTGTGTGCTGGGGCTGGGCAGGGACTATGCATGTGCTGACTTGCCTGGCTGGTATGTATCTGCTGAGTGGCCTGCAAGCCACCCTTGTCGCCTGCTCTTGGAAACTCTTCTCCCTCCTTTTCCCATAATAGGTGAAAGCTCTTAGATCCTTAGATAATAATAATTCCTGCCTTTCAGGTTAGATATATGCAAGGATTTAATGTCCTACATGGTCTTCTGTGTCCTCATTGACTCAAACTAGTCAATGGGATAGAAGAGTTTACAGAAACTAGACCAAAAATAGAAAACAGTTTAACAACTGAAGAAATAGTATTATGTCTTGGTTACTATTTACCATGCTGCAAACATCTGCGCTGCTGTTCATGGCTTATTCAATAATAGCTTTTTCCTTCCTACTTTCCTTTTTTTAAGTATTTTTTGACCTTTACACCGTTTTTTGTTTTGTTCTGTTTACTAAACACAGCGCTGGTGCAACAGTGCAACTGCATAGCACTATCTATGGGGATATGCAGAAGAGGAAGGGAAAAGAGAGCTCAGAAAGTAATGTGGGAACTGTGACTTTGCTGCATTTTGTATTTATAGCATAAGGAGACTAATGTACTGGAAAAAACGTACATATATATATATATATAAAATAATCTCTGCTTGTGGATATATATATATTTCCTTCCTCATACTGCTTTAGAAGAGTTTTGCTGACAAAAAAAAAGATTGCTATGGGAAAATACTGAGATAAAATATCAAAATATTGTGTTCTCTATATTAACACTTAGGAATACTTTGGCAAGGTTAAAACTTGTTTTTCTGTAAAACAAGTGCATTAAAATAACTTCATAAAACATTCCTCATCATTGCTTCAAATTTTTGGGAAGGTAAATATGCTAATGTTTCCATTTGTCTAACTCATTAAGTTCCTTTAGCAAAGGAATATGTTTTAAAATCTCTTTAATATTATTCCCAAATTCCAATACTAAATTTCCTCTCTCTCAATATAAAATAATATCAATTGTGACAGAGGATTAGAAGGGCAAGGGCAGAGTGAAAAAAATATTATATAAATTGAGGGTGAATGAATGACCACAGAAATTGTACAAGAAATCCCAGTGGTAATACTTATCTTAGTGTGTACATACGACATGTGAAAATATGAGGGAAAAAAAAAAGAAAAATAGTTTGTATGTACAAATCTATTGCTTATAAGTTTTTACCATAACATTATGTACATAATGTGTTACTAAGTTAACATTTGGGAAAGCATGAGCAATGAAGTCTGTGAAACTTTCTCCCATAGATTTGAGCAGAGGCTGAGTGTAGTTTCTGCAGCTGTGTGAATGAAAAGAGATGGTGTATTGCATATGTAGGGTCTATAGACATTAGCATGCTTGCTCTCGTAAGCAAGCATAACAAATTTGTTAAGACAATGTGGTTTGTAAACCATGTTTATTTACATCTTCACCTGCTGGACTTTGGTCATCATAACATACAGTGTGTTTGGATTGCAGTCTGCTTCAAACAGCCTTAAAAAAATCTAGAGACTAAAAATGCTGGCAGTTCCACAGACTTAACTTTACAGCTAGCATTTATTGAATCCCAACAAACTCCAGGAGAGGCAGACGAAGGTCTCGTATTACAGACCATTGCTGGGCACACAGAAAATCAGGCCTGTTTTAGGGGCACCTGTTGTTGAGGACAGCAGGACCCATCACCACGGGACTTTTATGAACTTTCCTAAGATCTTTACTTGTCTTTCTGTCTTGGTAGTGACATGCAGTGGCAGCTCATGCCAGTGAGAGGGTGGCAAGTAGAAAGTAGGTGACATGTAATGGTAGAAGCAACACATAATATTTTATGTCATGTAACAACTTGTTGCGACATGCAGAAGTTGTTTTCCTTTTTTTTTCCTCAACTAATGCCCCAAGACATTGCCGAGTCCTGATGCAGCCAGGTGCCCATATAGTTGAGCTATGCATGTGGTAATCGGTTTGGTAAAAAATAATACATACTATTCTAATTTGGTATGACAGCATTCTCTTAAAACTCTGCTGTTCTGTGTGTGCACTCAGACACAGGTCTGCTATGGGATTTTCTGGTGACATTTCTCCCAGGTAAAAAGCATCAGAGCTGCCACTGCTTACACATGAATACTAATGTACTTCCAGTGAAGCAGCTTTCTTATTTTTGCTTCTATTATTATTATTATTATTATTTTTCTTCTTCTTCTCCTTCTTCTTCTTCTCCTTCTTCTTCTTCTTCTCCTTCTTCTTCTTCTCCTTCTCCTTCTCCTTCTTCTCCTTCTTCTTCTCCTTCTCCTTCTTCTCCTTCTCCTTCTTCTCCTTCTCCTTCTCCTCCTACTCCTCCTTCTTCTCCTTCTTTTTCTTTTTCTTTTTCTTTTTCTTTTTCTTTTTCTTTTTCTTTTTCTTCTTTTTCTTCTGTGGTTAAGGAACATACATTTTTGTATGTTCATAACATTAATTAAAAAAAAAATTAAGGCCTCGGTATGCACCTGTTTTCCTGGTTCCACATGCCTAACCAGGACACCCAGCTCCTCCTCCTCCTCCTCCTTCCTGTCCTGCCTGATGCGCAGGCAGGCGGGAAGCTGGGAAGCTCAGGGGCCCTCTGTTATGTTACGCAATTTTTCTCTTCAGAAGGTGGAAATAAGGTGACTTGAGTCCACTGGTATTTGTGCAAGGCACTTTTTATTTCTTGCCCTATCGTATCTCTTATCTACTTGCCTTTTTTTTTTTTTTTTTGAGTCATCAGTAGGTACAAAGAGAAACAATCCCACCTATTCACAACATACCAGGTGTGGGCTGGCCGGATACAAGCACTGCTTGGAAAGGTTTCCTCACTATTATGAGCACTTTTTTTGTGCTCATTTTTTTCACCGTGAGGGAAAGCTGCTGAAGCTTCAGCAACTTCATGCTTTGCTTCTTCCTCACCAGGGTTTAGGAGCGACCCCAGTGAGGGGGTCCCAGGTCTTGGG